TGTGTTTGTCGCCCCCAGTCCTGCCAGACCCCTGTGTGTGTCACCCCCAGTCCTGCCAGACCCCTGTGTGTGTCACCCCCAGTCCTGCCAGACCCCTGTGTGTGTCACCCCCAGTCCTGCCAGACCCCGGTGTGTCACCCCCAGTCCTGCTGGACCCCTGTGTGTGTCACCTGGAGCCCCCCAGTCCTGCTGGACCCCTGTGTGTGTCACCTGGAGCCCCCCAGCTCTACCAGCACAGGCTCCTGTCCTACCTGAGCCAGCTCTAGGAACACGAGCACGTCCCCATCGATGTCCACCATCATCTGTGCCGCCTCCATCAGGCCGGTGACGGTGTACTGCTCTGCACAGGGGGACACACAGTGTCAGGGGCTGGCTGGGACGGGGTGACAGCCACCCTGCCACCGCCTGGACTCACCTGTGAGAGCCACCAGGTGTGGCAGGCAGAGGCGGTTGGCAAGGATGATGAGCTTCATGTCGTCCAGGTCAGGGCTGGAGCTGAACTGCCCCGTGTACAGGTACTCCAGGACTGCCCGCATGCAGCTCTTGCTGGTGTGAGGAAGTGCCACCTGCCAGACACACACTTTGTCACCTCCTGGCCGTCCCCAGCCATGCCACCCTCCTGGGCAGCTCTCCTCACCTCGTTGGTGGAGCTCTCCACGAAGGGGCCGCCGAACATAGCGGCCATCCAGTCGCAGCTGGAGATGAGCAGGGGCTTGTGGGCACTGATAGCACCGTCATCCAGCACAAAGGTGACATCTGGGGACAAGCAGAGTGGTGCTGCTGGGACCAGCTCTGTCACCTGGGCCACACCTCGCCCCAGGGGACAGCAGAGGGAAGGGGATGGAGCCTGGCATATCCTGTATTTCTCCCCAAAAATTTCTCTTAGTTTTGATCCTGCATTCCCTGCCAACCCAGAAGAGCTCAGGGAAGAGCCTCAGCAGTGTTCTGCCTATTCCAAGGGGTTTTCCCAAGTCACTCCACAACACATTTGCCAGCAAGGGGAAAACCTGGGAAGCAAATGTCACACCCAAACTTGAGTCCTTGGAGGGCTGGGAGGGAGGCCGGGGATGTCCTGCCTCGCTCTCCACAGCTTCTCCCAGGGGTGTACAAGGGCCACCACATATCTGTCCCTGCCAGGGACAGCCTGACCATATTAGGATCCATCTCCATGAGACAAATCCAGCCAAAGGGAGGCTGGGACATTCACGTCCCCCTGGGATGTCACCTCGTGCTGGTGGCTCGTGGTGCTTGCTGGAAAGCTGGGGAAATCCTACTAAGGGCACTCGCTCCTCATAAATCAGGGTGACCCCGTGAAAATCTGGGCTGGGAGAGAAGGAAGTCGTC